ATTTTGAAATAGTGTCTCGCGTTTTTGGCCAGAAATAATGCTGAGACAGTGACATAAACGTTTCATTCACCTTGATGATATTTTTCTATTGTGGACAGCTGTTCTGAGTACTCGGTTATGTTTTGTAGTTCTCGTTTTACTAATGACAAATTCATAGCAGAGTCTGTAAAAACGCGCTGTAAAATAGGTATAATAGTGTAAATTTTTCGGTTAGGTTTCATTAAGAGTCCATTCTAGGATCTACGTGATCCTTGATCGCTCGAATGACACCTGTTTCCAAATTTTTATCGAAAATGTCTATACTAGTTCTCAGGTAATTTTCAAAAGGCTGAGTTAATGTAGGTCTTATTCGTGATGGATGATTAATTATATTTAATACCAATTATTTCTTAAATTTGTTCAAGAGGTCTTCACTGATGGGAATTTCGAGCACCGGATTTTCAGCACCAGAATGAGCTGTTAATGCTGAAGAAGAATTGCTGATTGCATTTCGTGTGTCAGCTATCAAAGTGCGCGAGGAAGTTTCAGAGTTATTTACAATCATAGACATTTCTTGATTATGTAACTCGATATGAGAAAGTGCATCGGCATTGGTATTTGATTTACCTTTTTTGTAAATAACGGTGAAATTAAATTCTGCAAACTTAAGTCGCCACCGTGTAAGTCTGGAATTGGGCTCTTTCGTATTCATAAGCCATTGTAAGGGTTTATGGTCAGTATTAATTTTGAATTTGCGACCAAATAGATAGGGTCTAAAATTTTGTCGCCTAAACTATAGCCAGCAATTCTTTTTCGAACGTCGAATAATTGATTTCACTGTCGTTTAGGGTCCTAAATGCAGCAAAAGGGCGATCGGAGCCTATGGAACCCTGCGATAAGTCAGCACCAAGTGCGAAGTTAGATGCATCTGTGGTGAAACCAAATTCTTTTGAAAAATCGGGATAAATTAATATAGGGTCGTTCATCAAAAGGGTTTTGCAATGTTCAAAACATTTAAGGTATTCGGAATTTATGATAATTTTTGGACCTTTTTTTAGGCAAGAAGCCAGGGGTTTTGTGATCTTTGCGAAGTCAGGTACAAAATGACGATAACAACCAAGTAGACCAAGAAAGCCTTTGATTTGTTTAGTTGTTTTTGGCACAGGGTATTTCACTATTGCAGTAATTTTATCTGGGTTCGGTTTTACACCATCTGGAGTAATTATGTGACCCAAGTATGGAGTTTCGTGTTTTAAAAATTCGGATTTATGTAATTGGACTTTGAAATTGCTTTCCCGAAGGCGCTGAAAAATATTTTTGAGATTGACTATGTGTTCCTGAAGGGAAGTCGAAAATACTAAAATGTCATCCAAATAGACTACACAGCAATCGTTTTGGAGATCTTGTAAAATATTGTCAATAACCCTTTGAAAGGTGGACGGGGAATTTTTTAATCCCATGGGCGTTCGCAGAAATTCGAAATGCCCACGATCAACGCTGAAACTAGTTTTATGTATATCTTTGGGATCCATCTCTACTTGATAAAAACCACTCGCCAAATCTAAAGTACTGAAATATTGACATTTCCATAATTTATCCAAAATGTCGACAATATTAATAATAATTATTATATACAATATTAATAATAATATTGGGAATGGGATATTTACCAAGAAGGGTCTTTTCGTTTATTTTTCGAAAATCGATAATAATTCGCCACTTTGTCTTTTCAGATGCATTGATTTTTTTTGGGACTATCCAGTTAGACGCGCTCCAGGCAGAGGTGGAAGGTCGAATGATTCCTTGTTCTAACATATTTTGTATCTGCTTTTTAATTTCGTCTCTCTGAACATGTGGATATCTATAGGATTTACTGTATACGGGTAGTTCATCAGTGGTGTGAATTTAGTGCTTAATTTGGTTAGTGAACGTCAATTTTTCTCCCTCTAAGTAAAATATATCAGCGTATTCGCTACATAAATTCATTAAATTACATTTTTCCCCTTCGTTTAGGTGTTCAGTACGTAATTGTGATATGACACCACGCGCGCGGTCACTGTCTCTTGTAAATTGCATAGTTGCTCATTGAAAACATGTGCTTGTCCGGTTGTATTTGTCCGGTTTGATACTTGTAGATATGCAAAATTGTCGTTTGAAATTGAAACACATTCATGAATATTACAACCGGAAATATTTTGTTCGTTAATATAAATCGCACCATTAGAAATTGTAGTAGGGATTTTAATTATTTTAGAGGAAAGCGCGGAGATTTCCTCAAATAAATTTTGTTCTCCGGATGTGTACATGTGGATGTCCCTGGTAGCAAATCGAGTTATAAGGGACTTGTTGCCTAAGTCGATTTTTGCCTGCCATTGCTCAAGTAAATCGCAACTTATTAATCCATCAAAATAATCATGAAATTTATAAAGAAATAATTTTATATTGTTCTGATCATGGAATTCGCTGAAACAAGGAATTGTGACGGAATAATGATTCATAGTCGAAGCGTGTATGTTCGTGATAATAAATGGGTCATAATCGCAAGTTGCATCAGGAAAGTATTTAGTTTCTGCTTCGGGATTAATGAATGATTATTCGCACCCGTATCAATAAGAAGTTTAAGAGGCGGGTCAGCTATTTGAATATAGTGAAGTTGGCGTTTGTTGGTTCTATTCGGGGGTACAGTTGTTCGAGGCCGGTGAAAATTTTCTTCGGGACATTCATTAGGGTTCGACGTAGCAAAATCATCGCTTTGTTTGTTGAAAAATTCTATGTGGGGTGGCAATTCATTTGGGTGGGTAAAAACCATTTCGGGTTGGTACGTTTCGGGGGAATAAAGGGTTTCGTAAGTAAAAGGATAGTCGGCATAATAATATGACTGTACATCGCATGGACTGTAGAATTCATTCAGGTTTAATTCTCGGGGCTTAAAGTTTGGATATGCGTTACCACGTCGTTGGTAGTCACGTCTTGTCGACGGCAATGTTCGTGTGACGGGATGACTAACACCACTCATAGGTTGGGGCGGGTATGTTTTATACGTATTATGATTTTGATAAAAATGTTGCGGTTTGAGTGGGATTCTGAAACCTGTAGACATATTGGATTTGGGGAGAGATTTGAAATTTTGTTGTGTCCGCGAAGGGCCATGATTGACAGAGTTTGAATGGATAGGAATATTTTGAGAATTATTTCCGTACATAAGTCGTGGTAAATAATTTGTTCAACTCGATTGAGAATACAAATTTGGTGAGATAGGATTTGATCTAGGGTTTTGAAACCCGAAAATAGGTGTCGTGAAGGGAGTTGTATTTTTCGGAGTAGATGGTCTATTTTTGGTCCGTTAATAAACGACGTTAAGTTCTCCTTGTGCAAACTTAAGTGTATCTTCTAGCGAACCCGGTCGCATGCATCTAATTCGGAAACCAAGGGGTTCATTCAAACCTCTCAAATAGGAATGAAGAGCAAGTTTTTTGTACAAAGTACGTATTGCTTCAACCGTAGTACTTACGGGGTCATGCTGTAACTGTACGCAAGTCATAATCGTACCTAATAGATTTTGAACACGTTCATAAAAAATGTGGGATGTGGCTTTGGTCACTGAATTATTTTTTAGTGTATTTCTGATTCCTTCCCAAGTAGTTGGGGTACCATTAGTAGCTAGTATCCGAGCAGCGGGTCCCGTTATTTTATTTAATATGCCATTTAACAGTGATAAATTTTGCAAACTCGTTACCCCCTAGTAGTAGGATTTATGTAATGTGTTATTAACTGGTCACACAAATTTAGAAATCTGACAAGAACATTTGGGTTTCCGTCAAATTCGGGAACACAACGAAGTGCTTTGTGAATCGTGTCAAGATCAACGCTAGACATATTAGATTTTGAATGTTTTACACAACTATGTTTAGACCAATCTGATTCTAAATCTTCTACAATAGTGCATAAATTCCTAGCAGCATCAATTTGCGTAATACGAAGGTTACATCTGTCAAATCTGTCTGTAGAACTAGTCCTAAGTCGGGCTGAATTAGGGTGAAAAATTTTGAATGATTAATAAGGCACTTATAAAGAAAAGAAAAAAAATGGGAAATGGATCAATTAGGAAATTGGCAACCAATAGGATATGTGTACTTACACCAATATCTGCATATTTTCTTTGTGTCTGGAACCTTGTTCTATCGATGTCCGGATAGGGGTCCTCTTCACCTCCGAATGACAGCCTACGGAGAGCCGTAGGTACGTAATTGTAGATTTTTCCGTTCTATACGAAAAACAGCAGCAAGATTAAGATGAATCAACTACTACTGACTCTACAACTCCAAGACTGCGCCGATTATATAGGATGGCCGCAGTGGAGATGAAGTAAAGACGAGAAAATATGATGAATAACTATATTAAATTTCCACAAAGGTATTTCTTAAACTAAATAATTTTAAGAATGTCTGAAGTTAGGTACGTTAGGTCTAAAAGTGTCTCATAATTATAATTAAAATGATGAGTTTTGCATCGGTCACGTTGCAATGCACGGGGCGCGCGTTCCGGGGTGCGCGAATGCAAGCGCATTGACCTGACGTTTTAGGTATGTGTGTTACGTGCAAAACTAGATACATAACATACGCATACATAAATTACCCGGATCAGATTTAGACCACTACTGAGCGTACTGACGGACCCCCTTTCCAACAAAAGAAGAATCATCCAAATCGGTTCACAAAATGTCGGGTGATCGCGTGATATACAGAAAATAGGAAGTACAATCGTATTGAGAGCCTCCTCCTTTTTTAAAAACGGTTAAAAAAGGTAACCAAAATCAGTGCTTATTTATTAGAAAACGAAGGTAATTATAATAACTGTTGATTGTAGCTCAGTCTCTTAGGCCTTTGACTGATTCAGTCACTTTTAATTTCGGCTTGCTGCGGTGGCTTACTCGCGGAACCGAAGGCAAAGAGATGTACTACATGCACCTTATACTTTTCATGGGATTCCATGAGATGTTATTAAAACTTGTCTTGTTCCAGGGTTGAACGTGTACGCCTTCTTGTTGTATCACAGTTTCTACAAACAACTGAACGAGAGGGAAGAAGTGTAAACTACATACCTAACATTGAGTACCCAATACTCTAAGTTATGTTAAGTATAAAATACAAATAAGATTAGGAAAGATATTATTTAATAGGTTTGAGGTATATTGAAACTTATTATGGAAGCGGTCGGAATAAAAAGGCCTCGCTTATAAAGACTTACACGTTCAATTTTAGAGTCCATCATACTTCACGTGTAGAAAATAGTGCAAAACAAATTTTATTCCAACACAAACAATTTGTGTATTATATCATATGAGATCCCTGACTCTCAAAGTAGGGCAACCTGCGACATGAGAGCCAATGCTCCTCCGCGCGCTTAACTGGACAACCTTACACGACAGTACTACACAGGGACCCAACAAAGTCCTCTACTCTTTTGTTTATGACAAATAAGAAATCAAGTAGAATACAAAAAACAATAATCTCAGTATAGATAGAGTAAAAAAACCGACCACCAACCAAGTTTTATTGAAATCGATTACCGGAAAGTGCGCGAAACCGGATTCATCGCCTTATTTGCCATATCCTTAGAGGTGGAATATTTTCTTCAAATTTGAATGAACCACTACGGAGGTGCTCCTTTCTAGCAAACAAAGACTCATCAAAATCGGGCCACAACTCGTTATCGTGACATCCACCATACAAAAAAAATAGAATGCAGCCGTATTGAGTACCTCCTCCTTGTTTTGATATCGGTTAGAAAATAGAAAAGATAATAAGATGATAATAAATAGGACCTGTACACGCGATTTAAATCCGGGAAAATAGTTTCATTTCCGATAATATTGATTTCCATTTAAGACAATAAATACAAAATATAAAAAATAAATAACAAAATATTAACGCACACACGTGTAGTTTAGCAATAACTTGAAATTTTGTAATAATACACTCTGGTGTGACCCGCGAGTGTTACAATCAGTTTACACGTTGGTTAAGGAAAACGTACTTCCCTCTCTCGTTTGTGGTATCATGAAGCCACGTGTGATCACACAAGTACGTCAAAAGTGCTTCTATCGCACGAAATTCACAAGAATAATACGAACCATATGAAATAAATTACGTATGCGTAATCAAATTTTATAATCAAAACCTGAAAAGCTGTAATTTTACAGATGTGGTCTTGTTTATTATTTCATATTATTTTTTCTCAGATGAAAGACGGCGAGACTTTTGGTTGACATTTATATTGCGTCGCTGTAAATCGATATAAAAAAGGTTTTGCTAGGAGTCCGCGACACTGCCTTGTCCGATCTCTAATTATAACAAACTTTGTTTTTTTACTTCCCGTTTTCTACTTTCTTTTCAACTTTTTTACTTCATTTTGAAATTGAAAGTTTGACGTGTGTGGCGAGTTTTCCTTCAAGTTCTATTATTGCCCGATTGTCTAAGTAGTAGAACAAAAAATATTTATTTCGACATTATTAATACCAATTACAAATTGTTACTTCAAAATAAAATACCTATGTAATGTTAATCATTATAAAGTTTTATTTTTAAAATACTTTTTTCATGTTGAGTAATTTTACCATTAAGAACAATAGCTATTCAATTATGGCACAGCGGTTATTCGAATAACGTTTTCGTATAAATTGTATATAAATTTAATAAGATTGTCAAAACCTATTACTGAGTCACGAACGTCAGTCTCGATTTCTGTAAATACGAAAAAGAATCTTCTGAATATAAATATCAGTGGTGCATGCTAGTAGTAAGGGCGTCGGTGTCCTCGCTTAGTCTGCGATGGGGGCTGATACCGAAGACCTTTCCGCGCTGCAGGCCGTCGTACACAGCATTCACCACCACCAACATGTGGATTAGGATCACTGAAAGCAGAAACAAACTTGGTTATTGTTTACTGCTCTATTTTATATAGACCGTTTTGTCAACCTCCCATGACAGCAGGTGTGCTGTGTGACTAAAAGGTGTTAATTCATCTGACAAACAGCCACCACGCCCGCCATTACCCACTCATGTAACTAGCACTCGTAGAGCTTGTTGTTAGTCAAAATTATAAAGAGATTGTTGCTTACAAGATGCGCCAAAAAGCAGTAAAGCCATGGCCCAATGTTTCTCGATCAGGACCAGAATGCCTCCCAGCATTAAGACGATGGTCAAGAACACCCAGTAGCCGAAGTAGAACAACACAAACCCGGATCGTCTCTGGAAACATTTTTTTAAGTTGGAAATCATTACCCTGCTGCGCTGTAGTCGGGTAAAAATGTGAATTATAGTAGTATGCAGTCACCTGGTGGTGTGTGACCAAAAAATTAGTATGAAAACCTACTCTGCTCTAAATGAATGTCTCGTTTGAGTCGATGCCAACACGTTTTACGTCAAGTGAAGCTGCTACTTAATACATAATCATATAATCAATCATTAATTTCTATATAGCTCTCTAAATTGATTAATTAGTTGAAATTTTTACGGTAATTAATTACCGAAACATTTTGGGTGGTCCTAACAGCGACCAAAAAGCACATACCATATTATAAATTTGTCCTCACCTTTTGTAATCCAATCATCAAAGAAACAGAAGCGACCGTAGCCAACGCGCTCACAGCCAAAATCACGCAAAGCACGATTCTTATAGCTTCCACAGAGATACTGATGTTCAGCAAGCTTTGGAGTTTGTGTTGATCAGTGGCAACAGCTGGGTTCGACTCCAACTGGAAATCTGTTCTGATATCCAGTGAGAGGAACACGATGGAGACTACTGTCAATACGCCGGAGAAGATCTGGGGGAGGGGTATTTGAATGAAGAAGTGGAGAGGGTCAAAATGAAATAAGTAACGCGGCCCCTTAGCGGGAAACGACAGAAACTACCTAAGTACGTACATCTCAAATATAGCAAGGAGTGTGGTATTCAAATAATATTAAACAGATTTAAACGTTTATTTAGAATTATGTTTTTAAATATGACAACACACTCTACTTAAAGCTATGAATTTACCTAGGTACAAGTGTGCAATGGTACAGTGGTTTTACTTTTATATTTGTAAAATTTTAAAATGTTATTTATTGTTAAGTTACTAAGGACATTACACTTATTTATTATATTTAGTACAAGGAAACTAATAATTATAACTGAATAAATACGAAGTGACTTAAATACGTATTGATTCGATTTTTTAATGCGAGCTTTGACAACCTAGTAGAAGGATGGTTGCTTCTCAATGGAGAAGTCGACTGACGGTTCGAATCTCTGTGGCTGCATGTTCATACCTATGGCTGTCGTTTATTCTAAGTTGCCAACATTTGTAAATATTTGGATGAAGATGATGAACTTTTTAATACTACCAAATTCATATCTGATTCATCTGGGATTGATGATCCTTTGTATCCACAAACTCTCTAGTAACGGCTTGCTTTTTGTTGTGTTTTTGCTTTGCATCAAGTGGTGGTGCGATCCAGTGCACCAATCGTCAGTGAGCTGTTTGTTCAGTCATTCGTTGTAATTTAATTAGTTTATTTCAACTTACCATATCGGGATAACCTTGTTTGTTGTTTGGTTTCGTCTCAATAAGATTGATCTAATAATATAACGTTTATTTATTTTATCATAACCCATAAAAATATTACTGGGGAAAAACCATTTCATATAGAATGGTATCAACATAATATTGTATCATATTTTTATGTATATTTATTATTTACGGTCCTATCACAAACAAGAATTTCTTCCGAAATTCATTATTTCTAACACGGACTTTATTTAATTAGAGCGATGACTGTTTTGGTATAAATTTATAATACAGAAGTATCTTACAGCAGATGTATCTTTTTTGTAGATGTATTTTTTTTTTGGCAGAAGTTTGTTTGGTTTTATCATATTTTTTGCTACTGCTGTTTGTTTCTCATATAATTTAGATTGTTCAAAATTCGTTTCTACAAACTTATTTTTCTTGGACAAAATTAAATAGACCTATTACATGAGTTCAAAACTACAATCCTCGGGCTGGGTCAAACCTAGGTGCGCTCTTTTAGTAGGTTAGGCTTTATTATTATTTTATTATTATTATATTTTATTATTTTATTATTTTATATATTATTTATTATTATTATATTATTATTATATTAGGCAGAAGTGAATTTGTTTGCGTTTTCGAATATGTTTTCAATAATTATCGGAGTTTTTGAATAACAAGTTTAACTTCATTTATTTCTATCAATTACGCTAAACTAAGCGGAGGCAAAACATAATCTAAAACCAAAAAACGGGATTCGAAACATTAAATGGCTTAATGAAAGACATCGTAACGTGTTTCCGGACAAATGTAACAAAAACTGTCCAATGAAGGCCAAAAGGTTTTCGGAGAAACATTATTCTGTAAATCGTGTTTCTACTTTGTGATAGGTAACCATTATTTACATTTACATTATCCAAACACTTAAACCACTACAGGTGGGTGCCACTAGGGCATGCATACTTCTGAAACACACTGATTGTTTGTTCCTTGGACTATACGGAGAGGTAATTTAAAATACTCTGTACTTTTGTTTCTAATTCGATTTGGAACTTACCAAGCTGACGATTCCTATGATGATGCAGGCCAAGTCCAGTGGCAGGCAATAGCAACATTTTTCAACTGAACACATCTTATCCTTGGCTTGATTTGTTTGCTGAATTTAGTTGTCGTTTATTCTGTAACATCGACTCCGTTTGTCTGCAAACTTCTTCGTCTTCAGATGGTGCGTGATGATTGGGCAATTGCTTTTTAATTTTTGTTCCCGTTCTTATATTTTCACAATTACAACTATTTTTTCTGCCACCATTCAGAAGTTTATGGCGTAGAGGCTACTTATGTACTGAGATGAACTCCGTGCGTATGTATATAGTAAAATTTTCCTTATTACTATGAATTTTTAGGTTTTACAAACAATGAAAGAGACGGCTATATAATAGGGTAAACAGAAACAAATACACTAGGTTTAGGTCTTCTTGTCGTATATTGGGTTAAACAATACAGAAGAGTCAAATGACAAGGGTTCTAGGTAAGATAGGTGCGAGTAAATGTTTACATGGAATTTGTTTTTATAAATTCACACGTATTTTAAACATGTAACATAAATCGACAGTACAACTGTAGTCAGTCATTGGTGCCTACTCTAACCCTATCTTTTATAAATTTCGTGAATTTTAACGAATGCGATTGATTAACTTACTGTAGAGTGGTGGGTAACACAAATGCGGACTAACGAATGCTTACGGACGTCAATTGGCGCAACCTGAACCCCCCTCCCCTTCGTGCGGGTCACGCGGTGGTAAAAAGTCGACACTGCATAATATTGTAGAAATGAACAGGACTGAATCAAGGCATGTACATATAATTATATGATAAGAAATGGAGTCAAAAGCACAACAGGTGTACAAAATACCCACTGAAAACTAAATGTTACCGAAAGCATTGTTCCCTTAATATTAATGTAAACTGTCTCTTGTGCTGTTTGCTTGGCTGTACTGCTGGTAAAAACCTTTGCTTTTGCTCCGATGTCGTGTCGTCATATCTCTATAAAAAACTATCTACCTTACGTTTATATAATAAATCGAATTACACAGTTAAAACAAGTCTGCCATTATTACGTCTCTGCACCAAACGTTTACTTTTTGTATGCCAAGCATATCAATCAACGAGTTTCAAGAATTGGAACGGCCCCATGCTGAAGAGGTCTATGCTTTATGGCACTTGAAATTTGTCGCATGCGTTGTTTTGAAATACGATGCCGGAGCCGTGCTCGAGCGAGCTAGCTCAAGTCGACATGAGAGACGAACACAAACAAAGATAATAATAACTTTTATCGGCTTTATTATTTGAATTACATCTATTTGCCAAGTTTTATTGTAATCGGATTTTATTGCAAACGGAAAGTGCGCGAAACCAGATTATTCCTTCGTTCGTCACCCTTCGAGATGGAATGTTTTCTTCAAATTATTATATGTATATAAATGTCAAATGGGGCAATAATGGGTATGGGAACGAGGGTTCGTTCCAAAAAAAGAATCATCAAAATCGGTTCACAAATGCCGCGTAAAAAATGTAATCGCGTAATATTCACACACAAAAAGTAAAATTAAACTGAATGATAACAAAACAGTACAGAGTACTAAAAACACCGACCTCAAAAGTCATTCATCCCCTACTTTGCCACCCTTAGAGGCGGAATATTTTCTTCAAATTTAAATGGGACCACATCTGAGGTACCCTTTTTCCAATAAAAAAAGAATCATCAAAATCGGTTCAGAAAAAAACATACAGTCGAATTGGGAACCTGCTCCTTTTTTGAAGTCGGTTAAAAAGAAAGGGATGGGGCCACGAATCGGTGAAAAATGCTTACGGATGGTTTTAACTTTATTTGAAGAGCACGTCAAGTTTGACACTAAGCCGCTTACGATAAGAACGGTCCAAAGTGTCAAGCTTGACGTGCGCTTGACTTTACTAGCGAAAAATATTTAGGCACCTTGTTAGATCTATATCTATTACCATTCTATTACCTACTTTTTAATGTATGGAGACCTTGTACTCACTTTGATGTTTGTTGACTAAAAAGTCAGTTTCGATAATAGAAATCGTCTTGATTGTAGTGTTTGTTTCCGTGAAATTCACAATAAAGTCTACTACCCAGTCGCATGGTCCGTATTGGTTTAGTTTGTTTTGTTACCAGCTCGAAAGGGGGATGCTTTCTATACAGAGTGTTTGGTCAGCTTTTGCCTGTTGACACCATGTCCTAGGTGTCACGGTAATAGAAATATTATTTTTTTCACCTCACTTGTTCGGAAAGGCTTTCTTTCTCATTAGAAACCTGTGCGCAAAAGCGTTTTTTGCACGCTAGCGTGGAAAAGGTTTTTGAAATTCGACCTTGACGATGGACTGTGGTGCACCTAACCTTTTCTTTCGATGAAAAAAAAGATAATGGCACGTTCAAATAAGCGATTTGTCGTACATTACTCATTTATGTAATATAAATCCGGTGGTATTATTTAATCTTATTATTTTTGACATTAAATTGACGATGATAAGTAATTGCTTAGGTTGTGGTGCTAAAAAATTGATGAGATGTAAAATCTGGAACGCATCCGAACGTAATTACACCACATACGTTTTCTTCTTCTTTGTATTATAATTTTATGTGGTTAACGAAATTATTTTAGTTCTTCGACAAATTAAAATAATACAATAAAACAAAATTAGTGTTATCGTTGTTAATTTAATGTCAATAATAATAAGAATAAATTTTTACCAACGGATTAATTTTGTATTATTGACGTAGAAGCCGGTTGTTTTGTTAAACAACAGGCTTGGGTATGTAAAGGATCGAATGACAACCACCCCTGACTCTTTTGGCGGCATTCCTCGAAGCCACATTGTGCTCAACGTGTAAGCATTTTATAATTTTAATCATACAATGTATTTGTAATAATCATAATAATATAGAAGATATATAATAAGTACAGTTGTTGATTTGAACAAGTCCTGAGTATAGGACTTGAGTAGCCACGTGATGTTGAATATTACCGTTTAGAAACTTAATTATATAGCCTGATTATTATTGTTCATTAATTATACATCACGTTAATTATATATTATCCTTATAACTATAAGTAAATCTACCTGTGGTTTTAATGTACAAATGTTTAGTCTAATCAGTATTGAGTATAGGATTTGATTCGTCGTTTTCGTGTTGAATAGTGGGGTAGTAGGGTAGGGGTAGTTAATAAAAACTGTTTAATATTGGTAAAATGTTCAGTTCTGTTGTAGATTTTTAGTTTGAAAATACGAATAAACGTATAGTGCAAGAAGTTGTGTTTCTCATTTTTACAAACGTATCCCGAGTGTACCGACGATTGGTTCGATTGTCTTAATTAGCTTGTTTTATTGACGTTCGTTATTTTGTTCCACAGTTAGTTAAAAACCTTGGTGGGTAGGTATACCTCCAAGATTTCATGTTTGACATTGAATGTCGAAAGGGCACAAAGTGTCTCACTTTGACTATTTAAGCCGCAACCCTACTGCCGAAGTTCACAATATTGTTCGTCCTCATAATTGGGCTCAAATCACGCAAGCTGCCGAACGGTGAGACTCAAACAACTGCAGAATGGTCAACTCGATCCTCGTCGTTACGTTTATCAGAACGATTTACTTTACTATGGCTATTCACCAGTAGGAGAAGAGTCAAAATTGCTATGTTACATTCCTAAAGGTCATAGATTGAGCCTCTTATGCATATTTCATGATGAACACGGGCATGTAGGTGTCGAAAAGACTTTGGATCTAATTCTAAAGCATTCTTGTTTCTCCGGCTTGCGACAATTTGTGGCCAAATACGGCGGTCATTGTCTTATTTGTACATCTCGCAAACGTGTTCCACGAACTCCTCATCAAGACATTACTTCGTGGCATCAACCCGATGCTCCTTTTGATACAATACATGTCGACACGTTGGGTCTCCTGCCAGTACCTATCTAACAGCTACAAATTTGTGCTTGTTGTGGTGGATGCATTTACAAAGTATTCACTTCTATATCCTCTGAGCTGGCGAGATGCTGAGGAGCTTAAGCGGGCTGTATCCAATGCAATTTCCTTGTTTGGCGTTCCGAAGTTGTTGGTGGCTGATCGTGGACGTATGTTCGAAGCAAACAGCTTTGTTACCTGGATCAACGAGATGGGTTGTGATGTTCACTATATTACGCCCGAGATGCATCACTCCAATGGCCAAGTCGAACGATATGTAAGAACGCTTCTTAACATCGTCGGAATCTATATGGCGGCTGCAGCTGGTTTTGAATATAACAAAACAGAAAACGTCACAGGTTTCTCCTCTAAATTTGCTTGTCGGGTTAGATGATGCAGCCTACATGGAGCTGCCCTGAATGCAAGGCGAAGCGGCCAAGGAACAACCACGACAACACACCGGTTAAAAAAATTAAAGAACTGTTAGCTTATAGGAAATGAAACTATTTTTCCGGATTTACATCGCGTATATTTGTTTTTTCAAACAAACCGACGGAATTGTTAGCTTCCGAACAAATATTAGCGCATTATAAACCAAGTGCTAAGTTCACAAATTCAAAAGGAAGCAACCGCAATTATTTACGGTGTGAGGCGTTTTCATCAATATTTGTACGGAAGATCCAAACCGTTTATGCTACGAACAGATCATAAACCGCTAATATCAATTTTTGGTCCACATAATGGTATTCCGGAAGTATCCGCTAATAGATTAATGATATGCCTTGTTCCTAAGTGCCTATAATTACACCATCGAACATATCAGAAGCGCTCATATAGTGCGGACTTGCCGTGCTACCCTGCCCTCCCCACTAACTACGCCCGACTGTACAGAGTACACGTGCACCGAACAGTGCAGTGGCGGCGAGGACGAGCTAGCTTGTGATCGGGCGAGTTACGTTTACTTTGTGTTAGATAAATTGCGTGAAGGAACCAATAGAAATATAGTTTTGAATCACGTAGCAAAATACATCATGAATGGTTGGCCTCCAAAAAATGCTGATATTCGATTAAACCATTTATTTACCACACACAGTAATACGTACAGAACATAATAATATAACAATATTGTGGGAACAACAACAGTGCGTGGAAGGAACAGGCTCAGTATAATCCATGTGGCTGTATGCCTCGCGGTACTGATTTTTAGCCTGACCTTGTTGACACATCGTTTTTCAACATAATCCAATTCAACGATACCATCGCCATGATAAACATCGAATACTAATAATTACATCGGCTGAATTCATTAATAACATTTAATAGATTAATTTAAAAAAATGGTATGACTATGACTATGTGCTACTAATTTACATGTAATGAACAATAATAATATTATTAAAAAATATATATAAACCAGGCAATGTTCTCGGTTACACTTACGCTGGCTCGCTGTCTGCTCTGTCTCTAAACTAATAAGAAGAGGGAAAAAAAACAGTTAACTTCACATAAATTAAAATAACATTCTTCCCGTTTTGCTCATACGAAGTTGTCCCGTTACAAGAAGGAGTTACATTACTTTTAGTCGCTCTAATAATTCTCTTTTCGTGTGCGTCTTAACTAAGTGTTGGGAACTGCTATGACGGAGAGGTGGTGTTAAATCATTCCAAATTTTCATCGCTGAGTACTTCAGACCACCCCTGTAGCCAGTCGTCTTATGTGACGGCGTGGCTAAAAGGTAGGCTT